TTGCATAAATAACACTTTGGTATTTTAAATATATCCATAAAATCATGTATTTCATTATTGAAGGAGTGATGATAGTACTACTTTTTATGTGATATTAAATTTTTAAGCATTATGTGTAAATATGAAAGTAAAGGTGTGAGACATGTAAAAACAATATAATTATGAGCAATGTATGTAAATGTCCTATAAATTAAAAAAACCAAATCTTATATATACATATTTAATAACTAAAATAAACCCTATTTTTTAGGATGGGCAAACCAAAAATATTTTTTTTTCTAAAATAAAAAACAAATAAAGTTTCGTTTTGGAAAATGTCCACCTTTGGGTATATTAAGGTCAACAATTTTATCTAATTGGGTAAACTTCGTTTTCACAGTTATTTCAAAAAGCTGCTGCCAACATTTAAGTGTTCTGGCTATGTGCGGTGACGATTTTCTAGTTATAGTTTGACTTTTTTTTTAAAAAAAAAGTAATGATCATTGTTGTTTTTTGAACATGAGTTTAATTTTCAACAACTTCACAACTATTTTTTAATAAACTATAGCTGCCGCAAAAAGACCTAGAATTCTTTGGAAGCACTTCATAAAGCGAGTTGAAAGGTAGATGCCTCAACTAATAAACAAAATTTATAAGGAGTTCACAAAAAATAAGCCCATTATGAAATTTAATCGTGCAAAGGAGGAATGGATCAATTTGTCCATGAAACCTACATTAACTCGATCATGGGATTAATTGATACATTTGATGCATTAAAATGTTGTGTATGTTTCATCACCTTGTCGATGGCTTTGGCGTCTCCCAATTAGATCTGTTACTTCATTTCTTAAGTTCAAGATGATTTTTACTGCCTAATACGTTAATGATTTAAAATGTCATCTATTTTTTTTTCACCTTCAATTATATTAAAACTGAAGATTATAACAACATAATTTGAGTCATTTACCTTAAAGCACACAAAAAAAAATCTCTACACATACAACACATGAAAATAAAAATCCCTAACTAGAAACTATAGACTTTTGAATAGCAAATATTAATAGCCACAAGATGTATGGGCAACAGTTTAAAAATCATGTCTAGAAGCATAACAATATATTTATATAATCAATGCCAAAAAAATATATTAAAATGTGTATATGCTTTTTGCATAAATAACACTTTGGTATTTTAAATATATCAATAAAATCATGAATTTCATTATTGAAGGAGTGATGATAGTACTATGTTTTATGTGATATTAAAATTTTAAGCATTATGTGTAAATATGAAAGTAAAGGTATGAGACATGTAAAAACAATAAAATTATGTGCAATGTATGTAAATGTCCTATAAATTAAAAAAACCAAATCTTATATATACATATTTAATAACTAAAATAAACCCTATTTTTTAGGATGGGCAAACCAAAAATATTTTTTTTTCTAAAATAAAAAACAAATAAAGTTTCGTTTTGGAAAATGTCCACCTTTGGGTATATTAAGGTCAACAGTTTTGTCTAATTGGGTAAATTTTATTTTGACAATTATTTCAAAAAATTGCTGTCAACATTTACATGTTTTGACTAGGTGCGGTGACGGTCATCTAGTCATGACCTGACTTTTTTTTTATTAAAATGTAATGATCATTATTGTTTTTTTAAACATGAGTTTAATTTTCAACAACTTCATAACTATTTTTTAATAAACTATAAGCTGCCGCAAAAAGACCTAGAATTCTTTGGAAGCACTTCATAAAGCGAGTTGAAAGGTAGATGCCTCAACTAATAAACAAAATTTATAAGGAGTTCACAAAAAATAAGCCCATTATGAAATTTAATCGTGCAAAGGAGGAATGGATCAATTTGTCCATGAAACCTACATTAACTCGATCATGGGATTAATTGATACATTTGATGCATTAAAATGTTGTGTATGTTTCATCACCTTGTCGATGGCTTTGGCGTCTCCCAATTAGATCTGTTACTTCATTTCTTAAGTTCAAGATGATTTTTACTGCCTAATACGTTAATGATTTAAAATGTCATCTATTTTTTTTTCACCTTCAATTATATTAAAACTGAAGATTATAACAACATAATTTGAGTCATTTACCTTAAAGCACACAAAAAAAAATCTCTACACATACAACACATGAAAATAAAAATCCCTAACTAGAAACTATAGACTTTTGAATAGCAAATATTAATAGCCACAAGATGTATGGGCAACAGTTTAAAAATCATGTCTAGAAGCATAACAATATATTTATATAATCAATGCCAAAAAATATATTAAAATGTGTATATGCTTTGAAAAAAATTGCAATTAGGAACATTGCACAATCAAGGAAAATAATTTAATTTATTTTTAAATTATTATAAAAATGTTTGTGGCTTTTATACTTTTTCTATACAAGGATATAAATTGATCATAATTTTATGTACATTTTATACAAATTTATTTAAAGTTTGTAAATGATTTCAAAATCATTTTATATATCTTTATTAATTATAAGATAAAGAAAAAGTAATTTTATAAATAGATAATTATAAGAGCCATTTATACGGGGCATTCCGAGAATTGAACTCGGGACCTCTCGCACCCTAAGCGAGAATCATACCACTAGACCAAATGCCCTTTGTATAGCTTACCTTTATTTTTACATGTAATTAAATAAATAAATTAGCAAATCTCATCCACCACAATATTCAATTTGCTACCCGCATTTCTTGTAAAACTAGAACCGCGTTTTATGATAAATAGACAAAACGCGTGTTCGAAAAGGAACCGCAATATTTTCAAAAATGCCCTCGCACTTATAAGCTACCTCAAACAGACCCTTAACCTTGAAACACTTTAGTTAGTATCAGGTGAATTATTTAAGCACTATAGAGAAAAAGATGTGTGATATGCATCAATGAGTAGTACTGGCATTAGTTGTTGTTATGTCATGACAAAAGAATTTCCAATCATAAATTGGATCATAACTTAGATCACAATTAATTTATTGTTTCATAAATATAACAAAAATATGTTAAAAAATGGGTGAAGTCTTTGCCGAATTAATGTTACGGTATGATGGTAAATTAATTGTATCTGAGGATCTTTATGCCCAATATGTGGGAGGTCGAAGTAGGCTTATTCGTGCCCCCACAACATGCTACATATATGGAGTTGAAAGAGTTAATAAAACAAAGCTAGAAATAAGACTCCATTGAATTGAATATAATATGTCGTTACCCAATGAATGGTGATTTCATTGCAACTCATGTCGATGATGATGAAGTGACTGCATAATTAAACACAAATCATTCGAAATATTAATATTTATAAATTAATCACCCAAGTGATTTTTTCTTGAGCTACAAAAATCAATTTACTTGAGCATGCCACGATCGAACAATTGAGAATTTGATAAAAATGGAAAGATTGGGTTGGGTTTTGCCATGAAATTTCATATTTGAGTGAGAATTTGAAAATTCGATGAAATAGAGTGTGGTAGATTTGTAAATAGTAAGTTTCATTGGTTTCATTAAATAGTTTGTATTTAAATTATAATAATATTTTTTTTTATTTTGAATTATGAACGAGCTAAACACGAACAACTCTATGTTTAGTTACGAATTATGAACGAGCTAATAAAATTATACATTATTATTTAATAAAAAATATATTATATATATTTAAATCTAAATTTAAATCACCATAGCTTATGTGATCACGTGATTATGCACAATTTATTATATGGGATTGATCCATGTTGGAATCTAACACTATCTTACATCTAATTTTCTTATTACTTGAAATGGGCCAATTTCAATATATATTTTTTAAAATTTATAAGTTATGTATGAAAAGAAAGAATTTTTTTTTTTGAATGAAAAAAAAAAATATAATTAACATTTTCAACCCATTTAACGTAAATTTGTTTGTTTTGATCAAGTGATTTTCATGGTTTCAAATTTAACCGACGAACTTCTTGGCCTAATCAATGAAAAAAAATGCAAACGTCCGGACTACTAATCACCGAAAGTCATGTCGCCCGCCACTGACGTATGCAATGAAGGGTGATTGACCCTCATGGACGAAAGAATTTTTTTTTTGAATGAAAAAAAAAAAAATTAACATTTTCAACCTATTTAACGTAAATTTGTTTGTTTTGATCAAGTGATTTTCATGGTTTTTTTTAAAAAAAAAAAAAAAAAAAAAAAAAAAAAAAAAAAAAAACTCTCCCTCTCTCTTTGTATCTCTA